AAAAATAAATAAATTCTACCCTTTTACAGTGTATAGTTAACTGTGTTGGAACAGTCTAAAATTGGAGTCATTCGAGGGGAATTCTGAGTGTTTCTGAGAAGACCCCAAGAAAGCAAGAGTCTTACAACCTTGTTTTTTCAAAACACAGAATTATTCTTGGCATGTGTTCTCGTGCGCCTCCCAGGTGCAGCAGAGAGGAGTGCATTTGCTCCGGAAGTCATCACTCATGTACCTCGATGGGAAAACATGCTTTCGCCATGCATGCTTGTCCCTGTAACTGTACTCGTAACTCAGGTGATTGTATAATTTACACACTCACAGTATAAGTTGTCTGATGCTCTGAATAAAGGTGGCTACTGAATGAGACTTTAGTCCACCTCATTTTCAGCCCTGCTCTCCCATTCAGCCTCTAACTAGAGCAGTAAACATATAGTTAGTTACAGTAGTGTTACTATCACCTCCACCTAGAACACTCCACCATGTCAAAACTACACCCCCAATCTCCTCCCTCTGTGCCACCATTTTGAGCAACACTCTCATAAACACCATGTTTTGTCACGCATGCCCTCCTACACACTCATAATTTGCCTCTATTTTACTTGCTTTGCCAAAACCAAAACCAAACAAACAAATCCCACAAAACAAAACAAAACCCACCAAACAGTTCACACTCACAGCTGGGCACAGAGGAACATACTTATAATCCTAGCATTTGGGAGGCTGAGGCCAGAAGATGATTAGTGGGTTCTAGGCCAACCTGGACCACAAAGTGCGACTCTTAATCTGAAAACAAAGCCCAACAAGCAGGAGGAACCCAAGTCCTCACTTGTCTGTGAAAGCAGGTACACAGCTAACTGCGACTGCTCACCGGGGGTGTCCCAGCCGGTTCTCAAGGAATGCTGGGTAGGCCCTTCATTCTGCTGAGCAATGCTACACTCATTCCCTTGACCATTAATCCTCTCACTCTCTTAGGTGACCTTTTCTGCTCCTTTCTCTTTTTAACACATTTTCTGTATCCCATCTGTCAACATACAGCATTGCTTTTTCTTTCCTGAAAAAATAAGAGAAATCAGAGAACTTTCAAGCCTTCCCAATGACTTTACTACCTAGTGAAATTAGATTCATACACTCTGACGTCCTTCTTCTCCTAAGAGATGAACTGCTACATTCCTTTACAGACGCTTCTCTACTTTCTAAATCGCATGCCCTTTGCTTGGTCAAAGACACCGCTCTGTTGGACCATTCCTATTAGTATACAAACACAAAATTATTTTTTCCATTAAAAATAATTAAAACAAGAAACAAAAACCTCTTGACAGCTCTTTTACCCAAACAATTTCTTCTTCTCCTTTATGCAAAACTCCCAATGTTGGTCTCAATGACTTTAATTTTTTTTCCTATCAATCACTTGAGCTCAAACCCACTCTGCCAAACGCTCACAGCTACCACTGACCTCCACAATGCTAACTCCAATGGCTGTTAGCTCTTATCTCATTTCATCACAAGACGTGGTAACGTCCGCCTCACTGCAAGCCCTCATTTCCTAGACTCTCGGGAGTCTATACTTCGGTCTCCTGCCATGTCTCTCTGGCTCTTCCTTCTCAGCCTCACTAGTGAAGGCTGAAATGAGCTTAAGGGGCCAAAGCAGATCTCAAGACACTTATTTGGCGTCTCATTGAGTCTTGTAGCCTTTGGCCTTTGTGTGTGTGTGTGTGTATGTGTGTGTGTGTGTGTGTGTTTTAAGACAAAGTTATGTAGTTCTGATTGTTCTGGAATTTAGAGATCTACCTGCCTCTGCCTCCTGAGTGCTGAGTTCTGAGATTAATGGTGTCAGCCACTACTGCCTGGCAAGAGTTGTGGCTTTTTATTAAGATTTACTTACTATATGTTTATAAGTGTTTTACCCATACAAATGTGTCACATGTGTGAAGTGCCTGCAGAAGCAGAAGAGAGCACTACATTTCCTGGAACTGGAGTTACTTGGGTGCTGGGAACCAAACCTGGGTCCTCTTGAAGAACAGCAAATGCTCTTAACTATTAAGCTATGTCTCCAGTTCATATCTTTCTCTCTTTTTGAATATTTATTTCCTTATTTTAGAGAGGGTGCATGTACCATGCTGTGCATTTGGAGGTCTGAGGTCAACTTGTAGGAGTTTGTTCCTTCCTTCCACCTCCTCCAGTCTTATGACTTGATATACCATCCATGTGCTAGTGACTCTAAACCGCAGTACTCCGTTAAGTGCACACTTTATCTATCCAGTTGTCTGTTCTTCCTGGGTATCAAATAGGCACCTTAAGCTGGCGTGTGTATCAAATAGGCACCTTCCACTCATCCTGTTTCAGATTTGCGCTTTCCAGTTCTTCTCATCTCAATAAACTGCGATTTCACACTTCTATTGCCTAAGTCAAAACACAGTAACTTTCGCCTCTCTTCTGCCTTTCAGACCCTGCATCCAATGATCAACAAACCCTTATAGCTCTGCTTTCCATTTCTTACTCACTCCCCTGTCTACGCCATGGCCACCTCTTGTGTAAATGACAATAACCTTTTAGCTAGTTTTTTCTTCCAGTCTGTGCTCCTATAATCTATCTTAAAGAGCAGATAGATTAGTCACAGTTGAGCCATGTAAGCAGCTCAAAGCCTTCCTATGGTTCACAATCTTACCTACTAAGAGCCGAAGTTCTTATAATGGTCTAGAAGACTCTCACCAGCACAGAACTCTTCCTCTTATCTCTCACGCCTCTTCAGACACATCAATATCCAAATTAATCTATCAAGGTTTTTGTACTAAATTTCCTTTGGTTTCTACACAGGACTCTCCTCCTATAGACATGGACATAATTCACTCTGCTGGAATAAACTTTCATTTATAATGACCTTCTACACTATTCATGTCCATCTGGAAAACTCCTATTCAGCCCGTAAGACCAACTTAAAATATTATGCCTCCATAAAATATCCAGTAATCCAGGACCCCCAAGTATGTTATTCTTCATTTCTTTTATCCCTGAAAACTTAGCTTGAAAAGTCAACGATAAGAACACTGGGGATCTAGTTTTTTTCAGGCTTAAAGATCACACCATTTTAATGGCGTCTCGAAAGAAAAGGATGCAAAGGCACAGTCTGCAAATGTCACAAACACATGCAGTCTTGCAAATATCCCCATGGACCTATAAAGCAAAGAGTCCTAGAGTTTAAATTTCATTATCTGAATAGTTACTCTACCTATGGAAACAGCTGCTGGCACCCAGTGGCTACAGTTGAAAATGAATAAGAACATAGCCACTGCCAGCCAATAACTGGAGAAATAGAGAATCAAGAAAATAAGTAACCTGACCTCTTTTTCTTCCTAGTCTCCAATCTCCAGCTGATGCTTCCCATTGGTTGAACCCAACTGGAACCCAAAAGGCAAGGGAGCTCAGCTAATGCAGTCCAGAGGTCAGCCTCCCAAGGCTTAGAGTATGGTGGAGAGAGATCTGGAGAGGCAAACAGAGAAGATCCTGCATACTATGCTATAGGCATGCTATGCAAATAATTTGATCAGAATTCTAATTACAAAAAAAATGTGTGTACAGTACCTAAGCATTACAGAGTCTAAACAGGAGGGGACAGAAGAATTCTTTAGTTAAGCATTCAGAATGAAGCCTGAAGAAATAAATATTAAATTATTTATCTATTTCCTTACATGTTTCTTTTTTTTTTTTCGAGACAGGGTTTCTCTGTGGTTTTGGAGCCTGTCCTGGAACTAGCTCTTGTAGACCAGGCTGGTCTCGAACTCACAGAGATCCGCCTGCCTCTGCCTCCCGAGTGCTGGGATTAAAGGCGTGCGCCACCACCGCCCGGCCCTTACTGTTTCTTAATCTTTAATTCCAAAGCTCCCCATATTGTGAGATACTAGAAAGTCAGGACTGAACTTCATTGATCCTTCTGTTTTATACCCTATTACTATGCTTGGCTTAAATAATTTTCAACAAAATAAGTCAAGGGGTTAAAAAAAACCCAAAGATATTTCAAACTATTTTCTATTGGATAGTTGTATTGAAAACTTGGGAGGCATAAATATATGGACATATCCTAAAAAGGACTGGTAGAAAAATAACTGGTGGCTATTGAACTCCACTGACTCAATCATAATATGTCATTAAAGAACAGGCATTCCAAAAATGGAACGCCAAGATTTAAAGAAAAACCTTATTATTTCTCAAGCATAGTATTCAATAATCAAAGCTCTTACAGGAACCCAAGATCCAAATTCTTAATTTGTATGACTATTTAACATGGCAATAGAGTCAAATTTGTTTAAAAAAAAAAAGTAAGGTCTTCACTATCAGCTTTTTCTCCAGTTGTTTATAAACCTGTGCACCTGAGGCTGAGAGACCTCACTGTGGTGAGTCCCCAACTGAGCGCTGCACTCACTATTCTGCTCTGTCACTCCTCAGTTCTCCATGGACTGTACTCCTCGGGGTTAAAAGTCAGCAAGGGGAAGAAAGCTATGTGTACTAATAGCTCATCTGGTTTGAAAAAATAGTCTACAGCCTAGGAATATATGAAAGAATGAAAAATCATCCTTTAAGTGTAATAAAAGAAATTTACTTTTTTTTACCCTGAATAATGGAAAAATGGAGGGGTGGGAGAATAAGGGGGTGACATTTATTAAAATTTGCCATATTACACCAGACTGTCAAAAAATACTTTTCCTCCAGGAATAACTACATGCTTTCCTTCAGAGCAAAACAAAGCAAGCCAAAAGTCAAAGACCAAGTGAAAAATCTTTACACAGTTTTATCAAGCAACCAACTTAACACTATTCCAGAAGCCTTTGCTATGTATGTCCTACATGCCTAAGGCTAATTCCCATCTCTAGTGACGGCAGGGAAATCGCTCACTGTGAATAATCACCACCATTCTTCTCTGCTATCTCTCCCTTTAACAGAAAGCAAATTACTGAACATACAAGAAGCTAGCGCGGAATAAGAGCCTGTGCGCGGCCTTCTAGGTAATGAGAACAGTCAATTGCTGAAGGCACTGGTGTGGCTCGTCTGGCTAGAAAGCACCAGAGAAAGCTTGCTCCAGTTACTGTTCTGTCTTTACTTAGCTATCAACCCCACTGTCTTCAATGTCCTCAGCATTCTGAAAGCCATTTCATCTCATGCCTGCCAATGTAAACAGAGTCTATTTAGACAGAGTTACTTCTACATCAGAGACGCTCAAGTAAAGACACAAGTTTTAGGTCCTGAACATGTTAATCATGAGCAAGAAACACTCACTCTAGATCCCAGTTAAACAGTGAGAGATAGACACACAAGGACTCTATAGTAACTTACTTAAACTTTATTTTTATTTGTTTATTTGTTTGTCTATTAAGAAGTAGGAGGCGGGCCATGTCACATGTGCGGAGGTCAGAGGACAACTTTCAGGAGTTGGTTCTCTTTCTACGATGTGGGTTCCAGGAACTGAACTCAGACTGTCCGGCTTGCAGGCAAGTGACCTCACCACTGAGCCATCTCTCGAGCCTCTCAACTTTATTTCTAAAGTGGTAATGTAAGCCTTCAGTGGGAAACACAAGCTACTAGAAGCTATCATCTTTGAGCACAGACACGTAGAAAACACTGAGATGGAATTGATGCATCACATCAACTAGACTACTGAGCTCAGCTGGCGGTGCTGCTAAGAGTTCCAGTCAAAGAAATCAAAGCCCAAAGAAGTGGCATGCTGAAAGCCAGATGACTGAACTAATGCTTGAACGCTGAAGCCATTCTCAAAGATTACTACCACTGCCGGGCGGGGGTGGTACATGACCTTAATCCCAGCACTCAGCACGCACAGGGAGGGGAGCTCTGTGAGTTCGAGGCCAGCTTGAGGTACAGAGCTAGTTCCAGGACAGCCAGGGCTACACAGAAAAGCCCCCTCACACATACAAACACGCACGCACACACACACACACACACACACACACACACGAATCACTATTACTGCTACAACTATCAAATTGAGAGTAAGACCTTTGCCCTTCTAATATACCATGTCTTAACAAGTAATCATAAATACAACTCAGACAAGCACATTTAGTTAAAACCACATTAACCTGTTATTAACGAGAAGAAAATAATCCCTAGAGACATGACATATCCTTTGTGGTGTGAACTGTAAGCAAATTATGAATGGATCCCAACTTACAATAGGTGGCTCACAATGTTCTGAGTTTACAATGATGTGAAAGTATTATACCCTGAATAGGAATGATACATTAAGTTTTGAATTTTTATCTTTTCCTGAGCAAGCGACAGGCCATTCAACACTCACGGTGCTGTGGAGCTACCAGCCACACGATGATGAAGGTTGATTTCATTTGTAGATCACAGAAAACATAAACACACCTAATTAAGTATCTAGGGCCAGAAGACATCTACAGTAAAGTCAGTAAAGCTAGAACATAAGCAGAAGTAGGCCTTCTTTACTCTAAGACAATGGCCGACCTAGTCCTCTCCGCTGAGAGCCTGGAAAGCTGTGTAGTCATCCCAGCACGGTGCTACAGGCATTTACTACTCCTGGACTCCAAATCAGTATCTCTATACCTTCAGTCCCATAAACAGCAGCAGAGGTAAGCTATACCACAACTCTTCTGTAGATTCAGAATCAAAGTACACACTATAAGATAAAATCATTTTGATAGGTTGTCAAAATTACCTATCAGTGACTTAATTTAAGTGATATTATTTTGTGGAATAGTAAGTTTTATTTATCAGAAAATGTGAGTAGATTAAATATTATTTAAACATCACTTTTGATTTAATTGCATAATTACAAAAACATTTAATTGTAATTTTGAACTGTCTGCTACATCCTAAAAAGTTGAGAACCCCTGTGAGAAATGTTCCCATAGAAGTTAAACATTATTAATTGGGTGTACTGTGATTTACATGTTAAGAAAGCACACAACCACAATGACATCTAATAAGAAAAACACAGAATTACCTTGGCTGACAGATAGTGCTTGTAGTAATAGAGCTGAAATAGCAGAAACGCAGAACTTGTCAGTGTTAGGAGGGCCAAGATCACGTTCTTATTGATTCTACTCATTGGTCTGTGGTCTTCTCGCAAATGTCTTTAACAGTAACCCAGCTGTTATCATCTTCTTCATGAAACAGGAAGATAATCTTATATTCTGTGAACAAAGAGGTACTTCTGAAAAGGAAAAAAAAAAAGTCAATTTGGCAAAAAAAAAAAGAAGAAAAAATTAAAGTTAGTTTCAATAATCATTGACAGCACACACACACAAGTTATTTAGGCAAGCATGGCTGTACATGGCTATCATTTGGTATGCTGAGGCAGGGGAGTATCAAGTACAAGGCCAGCCTGGGCTACACAGTGAGTCCTAGAACAGCTTGAGCGACCTAGAAAGACCCTTTCTCAAACAGACAAACAAACAACAAAAGCAAAACTGGAAGAGAAAAGGCTTCTGCAGTTCTACAGAACACTTTGGCCAAGAGGAATGCAGGGGAAGGGGAGGGGCTTCTACAATGTTTCTGAGTCAACAGACAAGGCCAGGGACCTTTGGATTTCAGAATGTGTTTCAGACAAGACTTCTGACCGTAATGAGAACTACTTCTGGGGGATAAGTGAGAAAGAAGTTTTTAGTCAAGAAGCACAGTATCTGTTTGTTTTGTGAGGGTGTGTACGTGTGTGTACACATGTGTGCCCACGCGTGCGCATGCATGCATATGCATGTGTAATATAGGAATAAATGATCTTGGTATTGGCAAGGTAGCGAACACCTTAGTAAACATTTTAGTCTTTCATCCTGGGTATCAATCACCTCCAACTATTTCTTCAGAATAAGAAATTTAGTATGTACTTCCTAACTCCTCTCCAATATATGATCTTGGTTAAATATTTTTAAATGTCCTCTAGTGTTTAGCTTTATGTCTCCAAGAATACTAATACCTCTTTCACTTAATAACATAAGTTTTCTGACTTAGGTTTTCTGGTTGTAACGAGAAACTGGCAAACTATGCCACCTTCTGTCTTCTTTCCTTTCCCTAGTTATTTCTACTTGGTTATTTTATTCTGTCCAATAACTATGTTCTTTTACTCTTATTTGTACAGTGTCCCACAATGACCTTATAAACCCACTGCCCACTCTATAAAAAAGAACCTAACAGTGCTGCTAACTTTCACTGTTTGCACTGTTTAAACACAGGTGTCGGGAAAGTTTGGCTGTGAGGTCACACTTTACTTCCCCTGAGAAGTTACTGGGTTTATAGCTATACCCTGCAATGCTAAATTTTCTCTTGGTTGACATTCAATTCCACAGCACCAGCTACTGGGAATACAATTTGTTTTAATGGATCACCATGGAAGCACACATATTCCCTACCTTGTTGACCTAGACTATATAGTGATAGCGATTACTATATATTCATTTTTCCTTGAATTTTGCATAGTCTCTCAACTTATAAAGATTTCTTTGTAGAAAACTTTTTGATGTCGTTTGAATAATGTGTGCTGGGCCCTGCACACAGAACTCAAGTCCTTCACGCAGCATCCAACTCCTTCCGAGCTGGCCCCTCCCTGGCTAGTAGCCCTGCCGTGGTCGCCTTCCCCGTGGTTCACGCCTCCAGCCACTCCCTCAGGTGTACAGAGCAGCAGGCTGCAGCAGTTCCTCCCCTACCGAGGCATCGTGCGGTGCCCGGGTCCTCACATCCGATCCTTGTCCCCGCATCCTCCGCTCTCACCACCCAGATCAAACCACACCGCCCCGACCCGACTTCACGAGCGTCTCCATCAACCTCCAAACTCGAAGCCGGGTCAGGACGACCAGCGAACAGCATCGGCATGCAGGGAAGATCTGCAACCGGGCAGCACGCCGGCGGACCGACCTCGGCCTCCTCCCCACCGCCGTACGGTGGCACCGCAAGGGTGGCTGGTACCTGGCGATCCGCGACAGGTGCCTGAGGACGCCCGCCCTGGACCAGCGACCCAGCCCGGGTGCCTTCATCTTACCTCACTCTACAGCAGCGGCGGCGACCTTGCTTTACGGCAGTCACAGCCGTCGCAAAGGGGTCGTCAGGCGCGCAGTCGCACACGCTGGCCCGGGACCGTCCGTGTGTTCTGCCACTTCGCTGTCTCAAGTCCTTGGAACTCTGCTGTTTGCTTGGCCTTTAAAAAGCCGCAAGCAGCCTTCCCTTCAGCAGTGAACCGAGGCTGCTTCAGAATGTAGGAGAAACTCCGGCGAACAAAGCAGAACTGTCTACTCTGGTGTGCTGGGCCATCAGACAGTACAGAAAGCTGGTTACGTGCAAACTTCGGGAGGATAATGATTTCTTCCCTTCGTTCTCACCCCACCCCCACCCTTCTGTAAGCACACACACTAAGCAAGCAGATTCAGAATAACTCCTTGGGTTCTTTGGATGCCATTGCTTGCGAATGGGGCTGGAGTGGGAAAGATCGTTGTGTATTGATGTACCAAGCTCACGAGGTTGAGCTGCCTAATTGACATCCAGGTCTAGAAGATGCTAACTTCCAGTCCAGGGTTCAGAACAAACACAGTTCTGGGGACTGGTGTCTTTTGCTTTTAATGGTGTAGTTTAACGAGTTATTGGTAAGGATCAGATATGGATTTTGATAAGAAGCTTTGAGAATTAAAGGCACTAAACATATTATTGTAGTCTTAAATTCTCTGTACGAAAATTACTAAGGGCCCATAGAAAAAGATGAAATAGTTTACCCTCCACATCCCGTTCTGTATTGTCTAATTCAAGCTGGTCTTAAGCTCTCCATGTAGCCCAGGTTGGCCTTCAACGGATCCTAGTACTTCCACATCTCAGGTGCTGGGATTACAAATTTGCACGGTCATGCTTGACTTAAAACAGAATTTTCCTAAAAATTGTGATGGAATGTGACCGTTTCAAAAAGTCACTATTAAGCCTGGATGCCTATGATTCAAGCATTCGGGATGTCAAGGTAGGAGGGTCAGGAGTCAGGCCTTGTCTTTTAACAACAACAACAAAAGTTAAAATTGATGCATACTGGAGTGACAAGAGGTGGTATTTTAAAAAAAACGAGCAGTGTTTATTATGCTAAACAATGTGCGAAAATTATAAATAAGAAGAGCTGTCAGGTTTTTATAAGTGAATGCTTTTCAAGTGCATAGCTGAAAGTGTTGTGGCTCTGAAGGGAAAGGCTTCCCCAGGGCAAGTGTTATACTTCCACTCCAGCAGGGGGGGGGGGTTCCGGAGTAGAGGTGTTAGATAGAACTCTGCTCCCGCTACAACAACCCTCACACAGAGGTTTATTGCAAGGGGAAAAAAGGATACAGGAAGGTACCTGCAGAAGGTAGCTCAGTTGAGCAGAACGCAGGGTTTATATAGGGTTTCTTGGGAGAGTAGGCAGGGAGCTTTACAGGGTGGCCTGGGATTAGTGGGATTCTGTGTACTGATCTTTGGCAAACCCAGGGATTGGTAGGATTCTGTGGCCTGATAGTCAGGCAAACTTGAGATATTGGTGTGATTCTTTTTCTTGCCCCTGGTCTTGGGTTTGGGGTCAAGTTGGGATCAGAATGTTTTTCCTTGGCCTTTTTACCCTACAACAGCACATCTTGTCCTGCATAAACCTAGAAAAGAGGCAGAGGACTAGCCAGTTTTCTAATTTCAATTTAAGAATAGATCTCATTGTGTTTCCTACATAAACACAGTCATAATGTGCCATCTGCATTTTCAAGTTTCTGTTACTGTAAAATGGACCAGAATTTAAAGATATATGCCAAAGAAAGATTCTGGAACCCCTAAAAGAAAATTGGCATTCTTTTTCATTTGGTTACCTTAGACATAACTTGTCAGGAGCATTTTTTTGGCAGTTTACCTTTAAAGTTTCCCCCACTTACAAGTAACTTTATTCTTTTCAACACAATTTTGAAAAGTAAAAGCCCCATATACCACTGGAAGTTGGAAAATAAAAAGATAAACACAACTTAACCGGTCACAATGATACATGTTAACAGCCTGAATGTGAACTGCTCTCCCAAAGGCTTCTGTTGGTCTCTCCAGCCACTGGCAGTTTTAGAACCACGGAGAGGCCCGGCTCTAAAACCCTGGAGGAAGTGGGCCATTAGAGGGGACAGGCACTAAGATTTGTAGCACAGCCCTGCTTTTAGTCTACTCTCTACTTCCAGGTCCAGCCAATCTAGATGTGAGTAGACTCAGCCACCTGCCGCAGCTGCCATAAACTCTGCCATGCCCTACCTCCCATGATGGACTTTTCCTCTTCAACTATGAGCCAAAGGGACCGTTTATCCCCCTAAGTTACTGCCATCAGATATTGTCAGATAACTAAAAAATAGCACTTCTCAAGAATGTCAGCGAGACACTTGTGAGATTTTAGTTCACCATAAAAGTGGTTTAATCTGGTTAGCTAAATTTAAAGCCGTTGGAAAGGATACAAAGATGAATAAAAATAGCCTCTGTTAGAAGTAAACATTCATCTTTCGAGTCATCCAGGAGTGTGTGTATACACATCCTAGCCTGTAACATTTGTGGTATTCTAAGGCAGCAGCATAAAGTAGCAGCCCCAACAAACTTAAGTAGCCAAGAGCTTAGCCATCAAAATGCCTTCTCCTCGGGCTCAACAGATGGCTCTGCAGTGAGGAGCACTCAGTGTTCTCCTGGAGAACCCAAATTCTATTATGGAACCTCAGTCCCAGGGTATCCAGTGCCCTTTTCTGGCCTCTGAAGGGACCTGCACTTATGTGATGTACTTATATACATGTACATAAACCTAAATAAAAATAAATTTAAAAAACTGTAATATCCATCTGGACAGATATTGTTTCTTAAGGACCATAAATCCAGATTCAAATATGGAAGTCTCAGATTCCTTAAACAATACTGGACTGTGATATCATGAGTACCATATGACCTGGTATACATGCATGCATACAGTTGCAGGGTATGCAGACACTCCAGTTGGCGTGTCCAAGCACCATCCATTTCCACAGGTGACACCCATGGTGATATACATACCTACAGTCCAATCTTTCTGGATGGACCGTAGGAGCAGGTCTTCAGAGGCTCTCAAGGCAAACATAGGGATGGCTAGGAAGGGAGTTCTGGGGTACTGGCCATCTGTTGAATAATAATCTAAACTTGGGTTTGTCAGTGGAAGCTGGAGGAATCCCACCTCTAGTTTCATTTCATGTTGCTGTAATCAAACACTCCTGACAGCAGCTTAGAAGGGAGGGCTTATTTGGGCTTAGTCCCAGCTGACAGCCTATCACGTTAGGAAGTCTAAAAGGCAAAAGCTTGAAGGAGCTGGCTACATCACATCTCAAACCGTAAGAGCAGAATTAATGTGTGAGAGTTAGCTCTCTCCTCTGTTGTCCAGGACCCAGCTTCGGAAATGGCGCTGTCCACATTCAGCGTATGTCTGCTTACCACCATTAATTCAAAGAAGGTAACCCCTCCTTAGGCATGGCCACAGATTAACCTGAGACAATCTCTCACTGAGACTCCCTTCGCGTGTGATTCTATACTGACTTGTGTCACACAGACAATTAAAGCCAATCACCAGACACCCTTAGGGAGTTCCACTGGGTGAAGCTGGTAGCTTATCCCCACCATGGCGTTTCAGGATGCCATATGAAGCAGAGTTAACTGAGCGTTTTACAGATTATATATATGTATTTTCTGTCACATAAGAGCAGGTACCTTCAAAGGCCAGAAAAGGGCATTGGATACCCTGGGACTGAAGTTCCATAATAGAATATATACTTATATATTCATCCCTCCCCTTAATACCATATACTTTATCACTGGTGCAGTTACATGGAAGCACAGTAATAAAACCAATCTCTTCGGTGCTGACCTTGGGCAAAGTGGGTAGAAGCAACTAGTGCCAAGCAATGTTAAGTGTAAAACTCTGTTGAATACAGGGAACGTCAACAGAAGCTGCACACAATTTACTAAGGAAAAGACCCAAATTTGGGGGAAGCCAACTGCCATATGTTATGGCTGGACAGTGAAATGCTCCTCCAGGTTCTTCCATTCAATAGCGGTGCTGCTTCAGTCTGTGGAACCTACAGCTGCTGGGAGTGTGTTCTTTGAGGACAGGTCTTAAAGGTCACAACCAACCTGTCTGTGACTGGACCAGTCTCTTTCCCTGATCTGCCAGGATGTGAGAAAGCGATTCCTTTCAGATGCCTGTCACTAACAGCAAGCCAGTTCAGCCGCCATGCCTTCCCATACAGGACAGATTTCTATCCCCTCAAAATACATATTTCTTCCCTTAAGCTACTTGTCAGGTATTTGGTCATAGCGACAGAACTAACAGCCTACATATGTATAGTATCACCCACAGGGAGGGATATGAAGAATGTATATACACCATCATACACAAATACTAGTTTGCAGTTAGAAGTTAGAAAGAGGAACCTTCAAAATCCTGAAAGCTGATTTTATTGAATTAACTTTTAACTGTGGAGGCCAGTTCTTTGCATAGCAACCAAGAAAGAAAAGAACGAAGCATCCATGTTTGCCTTTCTTCAGTTACCTTCTATTTTAATACCAAAACGCTACAGCTAGTACTGTTTATCTGTGTGTATGTATGCAAGAGAAACCGCTGAGAAAAACCTAACTCTTCAAGGGTAAGTGCATTTAAAAATCTCGATTCTGTTAAAACTGTTAAGTTGCACCCATCCAGAGGACTGCCCGCCCCTGCAGACCTCTGTCATACACTCCTCCTCCGGGTACAATGTTTCCCTTTTATCTTTCTCTTGGTGACCAAGACTTTAAGAACAGGAGCTACAGCCTAAATATAGTCATTCTGACATTGTTATTTGGTTTCCCCTTCAGTTTGTTTCAGGTTAGAGAACACACTGGTACCAGGATGGAGTTGAGTCTGACTCTTTAGTGAGCCCCTATCAAAATGCACCATAGGCTGTGATGCACTAACTACTGCATCTTCAGTGTATAAAACAGCAGCTACCAGTGACATGTATTCAAATCTACATTAACACAGATTTAAAATCTCAGTTGACTAGTACATTATTCTCAGTAGTGCCTGTGACTAGGGGCTACTGAGCAAATACAAGGCTTCCATCATTACATAAAACTCTATTAAATGGAATTTTCTAACATTTTAAGGCAATAGCACTATAGCTTTTAAAATATTCTCATTCTCAACAAAACTATAGATATTTAAATAAAAGTTGATAAAAAATCAAACACACAAAAGAAGGCAAAGAAAAAGTTTAATTTTTAGAGGGATAATACAGGTGCTTTTGTAAAAACTTGAAGTAGAACATTTTATACAGAACATACAATCATTTCAACACACAAGTTACTGGACTTTACACTCATTCTAAAGTTTAAAAACAGCATTTAAAAGGCTTTGTCTTGTTTCTAAGGAAAATGAGGCAGTGTGCTCATTTCAAACACTCTTGTAGCACTGAGTATATCATGTGTAGTTGATTAATGGTCTTCATCCACAACTTAAAGGTTAAACCTGAGGAACTGCAAATTTTTCTTATCACAACTGCATAGCAAAGTCATGTCCAGATAGCAGACATACCAACATCCTGTAGAGTAGGGTAACTTGTAAACCATTTACTACGTCCAATCTAGAGCAACACAAATTATGTCCAGAGAATAACTGCTATACGCTAATGAACAGGTTTTGAAATGCTTTTCGATAATTTGTCAAGTGTAACAAATAACTGGACCATATGGTTGTTGGAGAAGAGTTATTTCAGCCAACTTCACTCTGCATGGAGTACCAGGCCATCCTAATTGAAAGTGCAAATTTCTGATGGAAAAGGAGCTGAAGTCATTTGCTTATTTAGGCTTCCACTCTACACATGGATGCTATGGAGGAACTTTTACAACTGTAGAAGGTACATAGTTGAGAAAAGGTACACAGACTCAGTCATGCACAAAGCAAATTAATAGTAAAGAACATTTTAATAGGAAGTCTTACTTTAAAAAAAATCATTTAAAAATCACTGGTAACACCAACTTAAGAACATGCTTTTTCCAAGTAAACAGGATTTACAAGTATCCAAACACTTACAGCCATTATTAATGAAAACCACCCCCTCTCTAGAGGACTCCACATCATTACATGCCTCACAACAGCCCTGTGAGGTAGGCTAAACAATGCACAATATTTTAAGTAAGGCAATAGAGACCCAAAGTGGTGAGTGACTTACAAAAGATCATAGATTACTGTATGGGAGAGTTATAGTGATTAATTTTAAATACTTAATGTCACAAATCTTAAAGCCTAGCAGCTTTTCCTGGCGCTATTTCCCAGCGTTGGCTATTATGTCTTAATAGAATCAGTCATGCATTTGATTTTACAGAGTCTCCGTCAAAAGATCAATTAGACTCAGTCCTTTGGTACCTTAGAGATACTGAGAATGTTCAAGAGACATTTTTCTCATAGTTCTGTGCTCTCCAAAATGTTCCAATATTAAAATGCCTTTTACCAATCTCTTCCAACTTGATTTATTTTAAAATTGGTTCAAAGTTTCAAGCAAAGCAAATACATTCACTGACCGCTGCCCTACATACTGTAAATCCTCTACATAGTTTTTCCTAAGCACCAACTTAAGTTGACTGAGTATTATTAAGAAAATATATAATTTTAAACAAATATAACTTAACTGATGATGTATCAAAGTCTGTATATTATATTAACCCAGAAAAAAGTACTCTTTTAATATGGTTGGATAGTCAAGATAAAAGTTCTATGGTAATTTCTGGTATTGATTACTAAGCCGATATTCTTAACATTCATATGGCATGTATAACATTTCAATTCAAACAATAGCAACGAGCAATCTACTTAACTTCCAACTGGAGTAAAGTTCCTATGGTATTCAAGTTAATCATACCTCTTAGGTAACAAATACTGACATCAGACTCACAAGTGTGAACACTGTTCAGATACAGATAAAAAACTAAAAATACCAATTGCAATGTAATGTTGGTGTGATGATCTTCAGTAGGAAAAGCTTTATTACTGACTGTAGTTCTGAGTGCTGAGCTACAAAAGGTACATCTGGTTGAAAAGAACAACTTCATGGTGACCTGGATACTAAGTAAATCATGCTTACCTCTTAAGGACTGCATATAGTGTAAAAACAAAACCAGGAAAGAAACTTTCCAGACTTTTGGTTACAATATAAAAGTGTAGTATTATGATTTATCATTAATTTGATAGTTTTTTTACAAGCTAAAACAAATATACTTTGAATTTTTAAAAGTTATATTATGTATGTGCATTGTGTGTGTGTGTGTGTGTGTGTGTGTGTGTGTAGTTTAGAGGACAACTTACAGGAGTTGCTTCTCCCCAAACTTGTGTGCCCCAGGGAACAAACTCAGTCATCTTCCTGGCAGCAAGCTCTTTTCCTGTGATCCATCTTCCCAGCCCAATGAATGTATTTCTTTAAGACTTGTAATGACATATTAACAAAACATTATTTTTAGATGAAGACTATAACATCAAAAACAGCAGAGCGAGGTGCTATGGTGAATTAAACTCTACTAGCTTTGGAAACCTGCATAGAAAGTAATAAAACTGATGCCATAGCATAGAAACTCAATTACTGTTATACGGCTTATATGCCGTGACTGAAACACTCACATTTTCGTCTAGAGTGGCGTGAGACCGGCGCGCTGCCTGCTGTGCTAAAGAGGCACCGTGGCCTAGAGGAATATTGTTCGTGGTAAGACGTATATACTGTCTCCTTTTAAGATTAATATTCTTTGGAGTAATCACTTCCCAAATATATCCCTTTCCAATTTTTAAAATTGTTTTTGAAAGAAACAACTGCAAATACATAAATAGTTATAATTTTTTGGAAAAGATATATAGAGAAAAATCAATCATTCTAAGGAAATAGAATATCTTGACCTAATTAAAATATTTCATTATAAACATTTTCTTTTATTATTTATACCAAGGATCTTGGAAGTTCAGGTTATACATAATATTGTTGATGGTTTTATTCCACAAATGAGACCCTGACTGCAAGTCAGTCGGAATCTTCAGAACAGACTGCTTTCAGAGTGGACGGAGAAGGGCAAACCTGCTGTCCAGCAGTTCACTGTCCTATGGCAGAGCTGCTATCAAACCCACAGACAAACCCTTAATACTACTTTAAAACCTCTACCTGTAACATTCAGAGAATCACTATATATTACATTTCTATGTGCATTAGTTATGAAGTGATTGGTGTATTACATATTTACCAAACTTTAAGTGATGTGACAGTCAGCTGGGTCAGTGAATTATAGCAGAATTCTTTTCTAAAGTGCTTAAGGCAGCTCCTTCCTGTCTACTTCCAGCTGAATAAACCTGGGCTGTAATTCAACTGCTGAAAGAGAAATACAATACTTACTACATGTTTTTATGAGATAGTTTCACACCTGTGTCTGTGCATTGAGCGGGGCACGCAGACACAGAAGCAGGGAAGAGCGCCGAGAGCGCACTGGGAGTTATGAGAGGACCTCTGGCGGATGGACCACAGCAGCTAAGCTGCGCAAAGCTCGGTTTTTACCTCTAATGCTAATGAGGATGTCAAAGACTATGATCAATTAATAGTTACCTTATTTTGAAATGATTTAAGTAGGCACTATATTCAATTATTTTTAATTTAAAAACAAGGGTGACAAACTTCCTTTTAACTTAATAAACTTAGGGTTTTTAAACTAAAGTACTACAGATTTTTTTTTTTTTTATAAAATAAGAGACAATAAGACTCAGAAGAAAAATCTGTTACTTGAAAGTAATGAAGGAATAATTAGTACCAAATATCACGTGAAAAGATCTTGGACTCTTATTCACTGACTTTATACTTTGTACTACAAATACACTGAGAAACAAAACCACTTAGTAAAAATCACGCATTTTCCAATGCATGTGTGGAAATTTTATATAAAGGTCTCAAATGATGGGCCAAGAACCACACACACTCCTCCAGCCCTCAACAGAAGGCGCTCACCACTAAGTGCAAGCTGCCTGGCCTAAATTCAGTTGACAATGAGTGTGTGTAGAGGAAAAAGGCACTGTATAAATGAGAAGACAACTATGGAAGATATAATATCATAAAGAAAAGTTCCATGTAAGAACAGCTGGTCCTTAATGTCATTTTTGACAAAATATACTGAGTAGTCACACAAAGCAATTCCAGTCAATTACTGCTTTCAGGTATGACTTTACAAAAAGGAGCAACTCCTCTTTCCTAAGGTCATGAAATGATATTCCTATTGGTAGTAGAACAATGTCTTTCAAGCTATGAGAAATGAAAATAAAATACTGCTTTAGGGAACCAAACGAATATTGGCATATTTCACTCTGTAAATCGTTTCAGTCTGGAAAGCTGCCATTGGGTTATCAGATGACAGTGCAGATATCTGTTACATGAGAAAAATAGTATCCTACGTCAAATTTGTTTTATCAACAGAACAAAAACAATCATGCCAATAAGCAGCAAATCTTAAGAGCAAATACTTATGACTGCCATACAAACACCACACAGAAAGCAGCAACAGACACTTCTCCAGGGAAGTTTGCCAAAGCCCAAGACACTTAAAACAAAAAGAGATTTAAAGTCTCAAAAATTAAAAGTCGAATATTCACTTCTTTAAAGGGCTGTCTGAAAGCAGTTTTATAATTTCAGCTTCAACTTTGGCTTGAGAAACTCGAGTTTAAGCAGCTCCGCAATAGGTAACCACAGCTGCACTTGCTGACGTCCCTTCGGGGAAGATGTAGGCTCGGGGAAGACATGCGTGTTCATTTGTGGAAGAATCATAAACTTTTAAACAGTGAATGAGTGAAACAAAAAGACAAAAAAAAAAAACCCACCAAAATCTTCAAATAATTATTTGAAAACGTTTATACTAAATCAGACACATGTAGTTTTTTCAAAACAGTTAGTTAAACTATTCTATATCTTTGTAAAAATAACTTATAAACTATTCCAGAAAGGAATACTTTAGAAATATTTCTTTATAATCTTTCACAGACAAAAAATTAGTAATGTACAGCTTTTTACCCTTTATAGAACTTAATCAATAAACTTCCACTCTCATTAGCAAGGGTAAAAATAAGCAATAATTACATTATCATCAGTGCTAGTTTAAGAGGAGATTTTCTCAAACGTAGCTTTAAAAGGTGGGATTAAAGAAGACAACAAAATCAGAAAGCCAGGCTTTTCAAATGGTCCCCAGGAGCACAGGGAGGAGCAGAAGGTGTGATTAATATTCCCTTTGCACTGTCTAAATTCTTCCTATCTGCTTGATATTTTGGGTTATAAGAACAATTATCACAATATTTTAGAGGAAAAAATTGTATGAATCTGGTCAGTAAATAAGTTACCTGTCAAAAGCCCAACTCGTTTAGAAAAGGTGAAAGGAACCGCTGTAAGAAAACTTCTCTGCCGTCCAAAGCAGTGATCTGAATTTCTAGGAGGTCTTGGGACCCTGTGTTCTGAAAGCGTCAGGTTAAGGAATTAATGACAGCTGGTGAGGAGAAACAAGAACACAGGAAGCTTTAAGAGCTTTGCAGCCCAGGCCCTGGGTCACCATATATAACTATTAATATTAGACGAGCCAAAGTATCTCAAGAAACGGAAAAATGGGTTTCTACATAAATCTTCAATACCACTCCTTTTCTATTTACTACTCAAACGACAGTCCGTAGGTGCTGGCTTCTGGGACACTAAGTACTCTCCTGTGGCTGCTTCCTATTTGGTGCTTAGTCTAGCAGAGTCCAGGCTTTAAAGCAGAGCATAGCAGGCCTCTTTCCCACCACTCCGAAACGTCTGCGTTAGGAACTGCGTGGAAAGGCCACCCAAAGAAGAAGGGTAAACACAGTCTGAGGAGCTGTTACTGAGTGACATTGTTCAGGCTGCTCGCGGAACCGGTCATTCCATTTTCACTTTTCTGAAGTGTTCTCACAGCACTTGGAACCTGCATTCCAGTACTCAAAGAAAGCCCACCACACCAGACCTAGGACAAGACAAAACCTCGGTTAGACTCAGATCAAACTGAACTCCAGGAACCCTTAACCTTCCATTTGAAAGGTAAATGTCACATGTATGAACATCAGCAAATCCCAAACTGATAAGTTTAACGTTTGAGCTGAGGAGGAAGGGAAAGGCTCACAGTGGCCAAAGGAAGACTTTGACTGCAGAAGCCACCGAAACTGCATCCAAGAACGGGAATTCAGGCGGCACAAACTCCAGAGGCTAAACCAGATTAATCTCAGCAGACAATGTTGACTGCTGGTACTTCCCTAATCATTACAACCAGGGGATATGTACCCCAAAGAACCTTCCTTATCTTACTTATTATTTTAACAGAGGCATGGCTTTAGATATAGGACACATGGGCCAGTGAGATGGCTCGGAGGGTAAAGAAAAGGCAGTGTCTATGCAAGCCAAACGACCTGAGTTTCATCCCTGAAACCTGTAGTCAAATTAGAGGAATCAGCTTCTGAGAGGTGACTTCCACATGCACACTGTGGCCCATAATATCTCTCTCTCTCTCTGTGTGTGTGTGTGTGTGTCTGCTTGTCTCTCTGACATGCTAATATAAAGTTAAAAAACACAAATGAGTTTATGAATGATAAAGTCACCTTGCTTGTGAAACACAGTCCTATTAGTCAATAAAGTTAAAAGATAGATTGGAATAGTCAAGAGACTTAAAATATAAAAAATATGGACAATTTAGATTATCAGCTACCATGTATATAGCAAACGTGTTTGAAGCAAGGATAACTGTAGAATCATTTAAGAATTCCTACTTTCAAATATAAAACTGTTAACTAGAATGTTGCACCAAAGACTCTATAATTGAAATGATGAACTACATGGGTAACATTTAACATTTTTAAAACCAGCAGGCTTGGCAATAACAAATTCCCCAAATGTGAAAATACTCCTCAGATACAGATGTAATAAGTTAACTGTTTAAATGATTCAGGAAAAGTATTTCCTTAAAATACCTAGCAGAAGAGGGCTGGCCAGACGGCTCAGCAGTCAAGAGTCCTGGTTGCTTTCAGAGGAGTGCGTTAAGTTCCCAGCACCCACATGGTGGCTCACAGCCATCTGTAACTCCAGTTCCAGGGGGTCTGGTGCCCTCCTCTGGTGTAGGAAGTATTACAGTTTGCATTAGCCTACTGGGGCGTGGCCTCTCTTACTATTTACAGGGTTAATGTCCTTTATTTAGGGCTAGAGTCCACTAATGAGTGAGTACATACCATATTCATCTTTTTGGGTCTGGGTTATCTCACTCAGGATAGTGTTTTCTATTTCCATCCATTTGCATGCAAAATTCAAAATCTCATTATTTTTTACAGCTGAGTAGTACTCTAACGTGTATATATTCCACATTTCTTTATCCATTCATCCATTGAGGGGCATCTAGGTTGTTTCCAGGTTCTGGCTATTACAAATAATGCTGCTATTAACATAGTTGAACAAATGCTTTTGTAGTATGATTGAGTATCTTTGGGTATATGCCCAAGAGTGGTATTTCTGGATCCTGAAGTAGATTGAGTCCCAATTTCCTGAGAAACAGCCACATTGATTTCCAAAGTGGTTGCACAAGTTTGCATTCCCACCAGCAATGAATGAGTGTTCCCCTTACTTCATATGCTCTCCAGCATAGGCTATCACTGGTGTTTTCAATTTTAGCCATTCTGACAGGTGTAAGATGGTATATCAAAGTTGTTTTGATTTGCACTTCTCTAAGGAGGTTAAACATGACCTTAAGTGTCTTAAGTGCCTTAAGTGCCATTTGAACTTCGTCTGATGAGAATTCTCCTTTCAGTTCAGTACCCCATTTTTAAATTGGAATCAGAGCATGCATGCGCCCCTTCTCTTTTGTTCCCCTTCCTCCGTGCCCAGTCGGCTGCTCCTTTGGGTCACGTGATTCAACCGGTCAAGGGGATAATTCTGATTTGTGACTTTACCCCTTAAGAAATGCCTATCTATTTCTTATTTCTGAGCCAGTGTGGGATTTCTTTTAAGTGTCCAACCACCATAACCCTCGGTACACTCCTCTGCCCTCTGTGGCACCAGGGATGGATGAGGTGGACATACATTCACTGCTTGCTTAGGGCTTCTATGCTGTGATAAAACACCATGAACAAAAGCAGAAGGAAGGAGTTTTTCTTACATTCTGTATTACAGTTCCTCATCAGAGGAAGCAGGAGCCATGGAGGAACGCTTGCTTACTGACTTATTTCTCACAACTTGTTCAGCTTGCTTTCTTATACGAGCCCAGGCATGGCAACACCAGCCATGGGTTGGGCCCTCCCACATCAGTCAAGAAGATACTTGACAGACTTGCCTACAGTCCAATCTCATAACTGAGGTTTCCTCTTCCCAGACAACCCTAGCTTGTGCCAAGGTGAGAGAAAACATCACAATACAACCAAAATATACAAGCAAGTAAACCCTCATAAACATAAAAAATGTGTTTATTTTTTAATTTTCAAAAAAATACTAGCAGAAAATTTAAAGGTCAGTTTTTAAAAAAGTAAGCAACCGGGCGGTGGTGGTGCACGCCTTTAAACCCAGCACTTGGGACACAGAGACAGGTGGGTCTCTGTGAGTTCCAGCCTGGTCTATAAGAGCTAGTTCCAGGACAGGATCCAAAGTTACAAAGAAACCCTGTCTTAAAAAAAAAGAAAGAAAGAAAGAAAAAAGAAAAAGAAAAAAAGTAAGCAGTACTAGAGGAAGTGGGTATCAAGTGCAAAGAAGAAGAAAAAAAGGCATGTGCTAGACTGTTTACAAAAGTCTACTCAAAAGAGATCAATCACAGACTTAAATGTAAAACTTAAAAATACAAAACTTGAAGAAGAAACAAGAGCATAAAGACAGCATGCCACTCCATAAAACTGAAAAGGAGGCTAAACGAATCTGGAGCATTAACATCCAGGATGGTGGCTAACTCTTCCAGAAGAGCCTCTTGTGGGTGGAGGTGGGCAGAGGACACTGTAAGGCTGCACTGCTCGCTCGGGTGCTAGTCACAAAGGTGAGTGCAGTCCTGTAAATACCCATGCTTGCCATTCTGTACCTCCATATGTTAGGACTGACTTTAATAAAACATACTGAAAACACACAGAAATTTAGAAAGGGTGGGTGGGGAAAAGGAGACGAATACAAAGGGAGTAAGGTACTCTGCTTCCTCAAATAATACAGTACATATTATACTCAAAACTGCTGAGCCAGATAAAAAATAAATAAGATACTAACCATGAAACCAGGCAGTACTGGCTGAGTAAATTTTGTCTTGAAGGAATATAGCAACTGCTTTGAGTGTGCATCATAGAAAGACAGCTGACCTAAAAGGATAGAGAGTCTAATGCATTATCCAAAGTTATAACATCTAGGATCAACATGTGACCATGTCAAAAACAGTATTTTAGCATTAATTTTTGTTACAAACTGTATGAACCATACTTAACAATTCTTATAAAAATCTGAAAACATGAAAAGAAAATCCAACTCTGGTTTTCTCCTGGCATTCAAGACCTTGGTAGTATCTCCACAATCTATTAAGCTGGTGCAGAAGTAAGTGTGGCCATCACTGGCATATGTAAGAACACCATGTAATTCTTAAATAGTTATGGCTATGCTATGTACTGCTTTAATGTATGTTGCTGGCTTTTTGTTTCTTGTTACTAACATTATTTGCTGTTTGTTTTATATTTATTTTATACTATGGAAATGCTAGACAAAAAGCAAACTCAAGTTTTCTTATAAATGTTCAAAACTGGTTGTAAAGCAAAAGACACAACCCACAGCATCAGCATGGAGTCTGGCCGAGGCACCACTAGTGGACACGCGCTACAGCCTTGGCAGGATCCACTAGTGGACACGCGCTACAGCCCTGGCAGGATCCACTAGTGGACACGTGCTACAGCCCTGGCAGGATCCACTAGTGGACACGCGCTACAGCCCTGGCAGGATCCGCTAGTGGACACGTGCTACAGCCCTGGCAGGATCCACTAGTGGACACGCGCTACAGCCCTGGCAGGATCCGCTAGTGGACACGCGCTACAGCCCTGGCAGGATCCACTAGTGGACACGCGCTACAGCCCTGGCAGGATCCGCTAGTGGACACGCGCTACAGCCCTGGCAGGATCCGCTAGTGGACACGCGCTACAGCCCTGGCAGGATCCGCTAGTGGACACGCGCTACAGTGGTGGGATAAAGAAAGGGTCTTGAAGACGAGGAACACTGTGGCCAGCCTTCACAAAATGAAGACGTTGCTGAGCAACTCAACAGGGACTGTTCAGTAGTGGTTTGCTTTTGAAGCAACTGAAAAGGTGAAAAGACTTGATAAGTGGATGCCTCTTGAACTGACCTAAAATGAAAATGAAGTTGTTTTCAACTGTTGTCCTCTCTTATTCTACACAACCATTTCTCAATGTGATTGTGACACGTAAGGAAAAGTGGAGTGTACATGACAACTGATAATGATTAGCTCAGTGGTCAAACCAAGAAGTTTCGATTCTGATGAATCTGTCAAAAACCACCCCACCTGAGAAGTATGCTTAGCAAATCCACGAAATGCATCAACAATTGGCATTGGCTAACAGGAGGCCAGATTCTCCACAAAGGGCCTGACCTTACCTCAAACAACCACTGCTTCAAATACAGAGCAAAGCACCACATTCACCAAGCAACTCACTACTGCTTGTTCAAGAACCTAGAAAACTTTCTGTCATAGAAATAATTCCACAGCCAGGCGTTGGTGGCGCACACCTTTAATCCCAGCACTCGGGAGGCAGAGGCAGGCAGATCTCTGTGAGTTCGAGGCCAGCCTGGTCTACAAGAGCTAGTTCCAAGACAGGCACCAAAGCTACAGAGAAACCCTGTCTCAAAAAAAAAAAAAAAGAAAAGAAAAAAAGAAAAGAAAAGAAAAGAAAAATAATTCTACAATTAGCAGGATTCAGAAATTAGTCAGATTCCTCATGTGTGTTTTATAGTACCTGGATAAATGTTTCTTATTGGCAAAAGTTTGTTGATCCTTAATGGTTTCTATTCTAAAAGAAAAGAAAAGAAAAATAATTCTACAATTAGCAGGATTCAGAAATTAGTCAGATTCCTCATGTGTGTTTTATAGTACCTGGATAAATGTTTCTTATTGGCAAAAGTTTGTTGATCCTTAATGGTTTCTATTCTGATTAGTAAAAGTGTATTCAGGCCTGGCTGTAACAATTTAAAATTCATAGACCAGAACAGCATCCTTTGTCATCCACCAATAACATTGCTCTACTTATTCCACATTAGCTGTCATTAGCTCACTAAATGCTAAGATCTCTTCCTTCATACATTGATTGTGCCAAATTCTATCAGCTTTTAAGCTTTACCCCATCTATCTGCTAACTACTGAGCCACAGGCACACTCCACTACACGCCCAGTCCGTCTTTCTATAGCATCTTACCCGGACTGACTTCCTACCTTGTCAGCCTTACACTCGCTCTCTCTTTTGGAGGTCCCCTTTGGCGGCTCTCCTCTTGGGTCTCTATCCTAACCAGGCTGATATCATTTGTCTTTTTTTTTTCATCTATTTTAAATGCAGTGGTTTTGTCTAGTTTCTTGTTTTCTCTATAAGCTGTTCTTAAAGAAACCAACTGCCACTAAATAGGAACAGGAAAAAGCAGTATTCCTATATACTTTCACAGAAGTAAAAGCACTTTACAACATTACTTTGTACATATAACGAATATTCAAATACAAGCAAGTATGGGGAAATGACTTTTTAGAAAAATAAGTACACTTACCTCCATCAAAGTCACAAAACACACCTATTTTCTCAGGAACAGGAACATCCAAAGCTTTGACCTTATTGTTATGTTTGGCAGCAAACGTGTTCTGTAACCAGCTGTTGACATGGATGCACCAACTGGTGTTTGTCTTTCCTAACTGGTCAAATTTTCCCAAAGTTTTGTATGCTACGCCCACACTGTAGGATTTACAATCCTTCTGGGCTTTGACTTCCCAATAATGCTGTCCACTTTCAATAGCGGTATCTCCTGCAAAAGGGGAGGAAAGGTTTTGACTCTGAGCTGTCCTTGAGAGTCACAGATCTTTACTTACCACATGCTACAACAACATAATTTCTCTTTTAGAGCAAATCTCAGTGTTGCTCAGAATAGCCACAAGTTCAAGATCCTTCCCCTCAGCCCCCGAAGTACTAGACTACAGGCTTATGCCATCATACCTACTAAATTTAACTACTCTTTCCGTGAAAATAACCATGCCAACAACAGATACTAAATGCAGAGTATGTGCTATAAATTTACATGTATTGCTTATGTTTATATGAATATAAAATATTTTAAAGCCTTTCTTTGTTAAAATTCCATCAAGGATTATATATTCATGAGGCATACTCTATGAGCTGAAGTAGAGATTTAAAAGTATCAGTAGGTCAAACTGAAGATTGTAAGTACTTGTAACTCTCAAAGTGTTCAGGTTTCAATACAGAAGCTGCTATAGACTTGTTCACATACAGGCAGGCTTTCTAGATGCTAAATAGGAAGCTTACAGTGTACGTACTATGTGACCTTAAATCTGAGAACACTATGCTTTATCCTACCTAGCACTGTGTATGACTCCCCAGTAAAGCGGTCTCTGCTGCCTCTTACTGCTGGTGGCCTGGAACCTACAGACGTCCGTTTTGGGGATGGTGTACCACTTCTAAAAAAAATCAGAAGCAAAAATAAAAATATTTTATGTTGAGAATGGTTCATAAATTAGGATTACAAATCGCAGCAAGTTTCCGAAAATACTTCTCATTGTGTTGCAGCATTTTATTTCATATAAATTATTAAAAGCTATCAATTATGAACACAAATATAAGAAGTCATCAGCACAAAGCAGGCTGAAAATGCTAATGTCATGCAGACTGAGCAAGGCTTATACAAAGAGCACACAGCTGAAATAAGAAACAATGCCAAAATGAGACAAGACTTGCTGATGGAAAAAAATTAAGAAAGATCTTGGTATGTTATAGCTCATAAATAAAAAAGCAGGTTCCTTATATAACCACAACTAAGTAGTCATTTTATTAGCAGTAATTTTGTTCTTGATCTTCTCTTCTTAAAAAAGAAAGTTACCTGAATCTATGTACTGGAAATATCAAAGCTCAAAGCATGCCCACTACTACAATGAATAAGATCAATATGATCTCCTTTCATAGCAAATAACACGATTGCAAACTGGACATTATTACACTCCTCAACAACTCTCAAAAACTTCAAATAGACTAAATCTCTATCAAGGTAGCACCCCAGGTTCCATGGTGCACTTTTTGCAGCCTCAGTTCCTTGTAGCTCATCCTTCAAGATGTGTTTAAAGTATGCTTTAATTATACTGAGTTTGCATTTGAAAAGCATTTTCTTTTTGATTAGTATCCTAAAATTAGGCTGTGGAGAAGCTCAAATATCAAGTGCAAGCTTAAGCTTAGTGTACAAATATAGGGACTGGATCTCAGTCCTTAGAATGCATGTAACTCAGGAATGGTGATCTGCACTTGCAACCCCGGAACTGGACAAGTGACAGGTGGGTGCATGCGGCTCTCTGGCCAGCCAACCTGCTTGGTGAGTCCCAGGAAAATAAGAGATCCAGTCTCAAAATACAAGGTGACTGGCACCGGAAGAATATTGCCTACCTATCTACCTACAGTCAAGAACAGACGCACACACTCACGCATGAAGGAGGGGAGATTTTGAGAGATTGTTCTGAGATTATTTAGGGAAAATGAAAATATTTTATTAGCATTACAACTTAGAAGTTTTCCAATACAGTTGCACTAGAATTTTTCTTCCAAAGAAAAAAATTTAGTAGAAAATAAATTACCAAATAAAATTAAAGTACAAATCCCTCATAAGCACAAGAATAAAGATATTTAAAGTCATTTCATATGTCCAATAACTTCAGTTTTCATTGTTTAAATGTTATCTTACTGTCAAGAACAGGCTTATTAGATGGTTTTGAATAATTAAACTAAACTGAACTGCTTCAAGTGTCCACTTTGTAGTGAATGATATTTTTTTAAAATATTTTTTAATATTTATTTATTATGTATACAATATTCTGTCTGTGTGTATTCCTGCAGGCCAGAAGAGGGCACCAGACCCCATTACAGATGGTTGTGAGCCACCATGTGGTTGCTGGGAATTGAACTCAG